TGAAAATAATTGAATAAAACTTTAATTTTGAGTTATAATAATGTTGCAAACACATAAAAAATAAAAGCAATGTCATTTTTGTCAAATTAACCGCCTGGCATAGTTTAAAATCACACCTTTTTCATGAATGATTGCCAGGTATTTAAGTTAGTAAAGAAATGTAATTAAAATGTTGAAAGGGGAGGGTACTTGTTTATTAGGAATATCTATTTCTTTGTCACTAAATAAATAAATAAAAGGGAAGAGGCAGTTATTGTTATATTTAAAGATTATCCTGTTTTATGCATTTATATGTGTGTGTGTGTGTGTGTGTGTGTGTGTGTGTGTGTGTGTGTGTGTGTGTGTGTGTGTGTGTAGTACGTTGTGTGTGTGTGTGTGTGTGTGTGTGTGTGTGTGTGTGTGTGTGTGTGTGTGTGTGTGTCACGAGGACACAACTTTTTTTAAAGAAGAAATGCTACATGGACCATTTTAGGTCAAATCCATCTATGATAAATCATTAACACATTCAGGAGGTGTGAAAAGTGCAATGACATTCAGGTCATGACCGAGAAGGTGCAAAAGCATTCCCCAAACATCGGGTAAGGAATTTAAACGAGAGAGAGAACCCGTATAAAAAGGGGCCATATTCTGCAAATGTCCCTATTCATACTAGTATTTTGTTCCTCTACTGTGACATGTTTACATGCTTTAATGTTCAAAAAGCTCTTTATTTTTCTCATAATTGCCTGTGCTGCAGCACCTCTTTTCACCCTCCATCTGAAACCAGAGCCCAGTCTGCTCTGATTGGTTAGCTGGACAGCTCTATTGTGATTGTTCAAAGGCTTAGAGATTTGTTGAAAATGTCCTACACAATGTGTTGCGCAAGCCACTGGAAGCGCAAGTGTAACATAGTGATGTCATTATGTTACTGAGTAAACAAAGGAGTCCAATGGAGGCGTTTCAGGCAGTGGGGGGGGGTAGTGTGTGGGAGAGAAACTCCCTGTGGATGGAACTTTTGGATTTTAGCCCTTGCTGATCGTCTGTCGGTAAAAATGCGCTTCAACAACTCTCTGTAGATCCTTAAGTTGAATGCGTGAACCATTTTACTGTAGCAGCATCGCTATAAGCACTGATCTTTGAGAAATAAGTAGTTTTCTGCATGTTTGCAATGGGGTTTATTTGTATTGAAAGGAGCATATTTTGGGCCAAATCAATGCATACACTGTAAAATGTTTGGCTGTAAAATTACAGTAAATTACTGGCTACTAGCTGCATGGATTTCACAGTAATTGACTGTAAATATTTCACAGTAATTTACTGTAGATATTTTACAGTAAATTAGAATAAAAGTACAACTACATACTGTGACTTTATAGTTTCCATGCCCATGGAATTACTGTGATATAGCAGTATACAGAGCTGTGGTATTATGTACCTTGCTGTACATAGATTACAGTTAATTACCTGTATTTTCACACTGTTACTGTAGAAGTAATATAACACAGTAGCCAGAATTTACTGTAAATATACAAATGTAAATAATACGATAATATATTGTATACATTTGACTAGTTAACTGGGATTTTAGCCATAACTACACAATTCATCAGCTCAATCAACCAAAGAAAAGCAGAAAAAAAATGCCCATTTTACCTTTTTATCTACTCCATGTGACAGTGCCAAGTCAGTTTCACAGGTCTTGGACAATGTGTCTACGGCCACACCTCTACTCCGCAGGTAAGCGGCTCGGTGTTGAGACACCCGACAACAATGACACGAGAATACACAGGCAAATAACCAAACCCACAGATCTCACAAGAAAAAGTGGTAATAACTACGATTGGTGCCAAACTCTTGGGCGTAGTTTATTTCTACAGACGCTCATGAAAGATAGCCTCCCTACATTTTTTTTGTACACCAGATCATTTGCAAGATGGCTGGACGAATCTATGGCACGTGATCTTCAATTTCTCCCTGCGAAGAGAAACCACAAGATGCCGCGATTCGTGTTGTATTCTCGGTGCGATAAGTGCGCTGTAGTTTTAAGGTTAGTTTTGCCATTAAGAACATGCGTTTTGATGCTCAGTTTGATGCGGAGGAAACTATGAGTTTTATTTCGATTATGTGTGCAGTTGGAGGTGTACATGACTTCTTTAGTTTGCTCAGTCCTATTATGAAGATTACTTCAGGAAACTGTGTCCATTCGTTTTCATTGGGTTACCCAAGTGGATGTTGGTAGGGGTCGCTCGGTGGGCTAGATACGTTATTTTGCCCTGTGCTAGTTGTCGGTGCTTGGGTTGGTGTGCATGACAATTGTAGCGTTTGTGAAGTGGGTATGGTTCTGGTGGTCGGCTTATTTCTTTGTGTTGATTAATAGGAGAGGGTGGTCCGGTCGTGGGTGGAGCTGGGGTGCGGAGCGGTCGGTGTGTTGTGCTACGAGGTATGGATGAAGTAAAGACCGGAACTTGATGTGGT